CTCCACCCCCCACCACCTTCAGACCCTTTTCCATCCTCATTTTCTTTCTCCTCTTTTTCACCTAATGCATCACCTGATAGTATTTCTTTTTGTTTTGTTTTTAATATTTACTTATTTATCTTTGGTTGCACCAGGTCTTAGTTGCAGCTTGCAGGCTCCTTAGTTGTGACCTGCGAACTCTTAGTTGCGGCGTGTGGGATCTAGTTCCCTGACCAGGGATTGAACCTGGGCTCCCTGCTTTGGGAGCACGGAGTCGTGTCCACTGTGCCACCAGGGAAGTCGCCACCAGGTAGTATTTCGTGTGCATCTTCTTCCTTTCATCTGAACCTTCCCTCACTCAGAGCTGTTATCCTCAAATCAGCATCTGATCTTTCAGGGTCATTTCTTTCTGACTCCTTTTTGACGCCACTTTCTTCAGACTTTTTCAGAACAGTCCTCAGATTCTCTTTCTTCCATCTTCCTCAGACCCTTTTTGGGGCCGTCCTCCTCAGATTCCTTCTCAGGGTCACCTCCAAAGCCATTCTTGAAAAGCAAAAACAATACCTTCTCAGCAAACTTGGGTCGGAAGAAATGTCCCCAACCTGATAGAGAGCATCTAAAAACCTACAGCTAATGTTAAACTTTTCTGATAAAATAAGGACTAGGGCAAGGATGTCCACTTCCACCACTCCTGTCCCACATCACACAGGAAGAACTCGTCAGTGCACATGCTGGAAAAACTAAAACTGCCACTATCTGCAGATTATATGATTGTCTACATAGAAAATTTCAAAGATCTACAAAAAAGATGGTCTAGAACTAATAAGAGAGTTTAGCAAGGTCACAAGATACAAGGTCAACCAGCAAAGGCAAACTGTATTTCTATATACTAGCAATGTACAGTTGGAAACCAAAATTAAAACATTTATGATAGAAAATGAAATAATCTCACAAAACATGTACACCGTCTCTATACTGAAAACTGCTAACAGCTGATAAAAAATTAGAATAGCTCTTTAAATAGAGAAACCCATCATATTCGTGGATTGGAAGAATCAGGAGTGTTAAGATGTCAATTCTCCCCATCCAGCCAGTGTACATCCCCTTTTACATCCCCTTATACATCCATTTAATACAGTTGCAGTCAAAATCCTAGAGAATTTTTGGTAAATACAGACAAGTTGATTCTAAAATGTACAGAGAAAGGCAAAGAAGCTAGAATAGTTAAAACAATTTTGAGAAAGCATACATTTGGCTCCACAATGCCCAATTTGAAGACCTATCCTAAAGCTACAGTAATGAACACAATGTGGTGTAGCAAAGATCAACTGAAGAGGGGAGAGAGGAATAGACCCACACAAGTACAGCTAACTGATTTTTTTAGCATTTTAAAAATTAATAGACCATTTTAAAGAACAGTTTAGATCTATAGAAAAATTGAAAGAAATTACAGTTTCCATATACTGTATGGATAGTTTCCCCTTTATTATCTTAGCATGACACATTTGTTACAATTAATGAACCAACACTGATACATTATTATTAATGAAAGTCCATAGTTCAGATGACCTTGGTTTTTACCTAATGTCTTCCGTTCCAGCCTCCCATCCATGATACCATGTTATATTTATTTGTCATGTCTTCTTAGGCTTCTCTTACTTGTGAGATTTCTCAGAGATTCTTGGTTTTGATGACCTTGAGGGTTTTGAACAATACTGGTCAGGCATACCGGTTGTCCCTCTAATGGAATGTGCCTGATTTTTTTTCTCATGATTAGTCTGGAGTTATGGTTTTGGGGAGAAAGCTCACAGAGGGAAAGTGCCATTTTCATCACATCATATCAAGGACACATACTATCAATATGGCTTATGATTGTTGATGTTGAACTTGATCTGATCAGCTGGCTGAAGCAGTTGTATTCTGTTTCCCCCTTTCCATGCTGTGTGAGTTGGAAAGAAGTCACTTTGTGGAGCCCACACTTAACGAGTGGGAGTTATGCTTCAACTAGCTTAGACTGGAATACATACGTAATTTATTTGGAATTCTGCGTAGGAGATCTGTTTCTCCTCCATTTATTTATTCAGTCACTTATTTGTATCAGTAGGCACTCATAGATATGATTTTCTACTTTAGGTTATAATCCAGTGCTACATTTTAAGTTATCTTGCTCATTGTCTTCCAACTTTGGCCATTGGGAACCCTTTTAGAAACAAGATCTGGTAACTAGGGGTGCTGGTTGCTATGGTACAGTGTGATTTCTTTCAGGCTCCCTTAGCTGGCAGAGCAAAGAAATGCATGTGTGCCACCAACTCGTGTATATACATATATGTGTAAATATTTTTATATGTAGCCATCTGTATCTACATTGTTTTACCATCATCAACTCTGTCCCTTACACATGGATTATTCTAGCCTCCTCCCCTTTCTAATCTGTAAATTCCCATTCTAATGACAAGAACCCTGGCTTTCACTGTCCACTACTCAATTGTTCAGGTCCAGCAAACATGTATGGCAGTGTCAGAATTGTTAACATGTGTACCGTGGGAATCAATTTTATCGATTAGAGCATCGTCCCGTGTGCAGTTCCTTTTGCCTTTAGCCTATGGACTCCAAAGTGACTGAAGTCCCTTCCCCCTGCCCCCACCCTCCTTGGGGTGGTGGTTTCATACTTTTGTAATACAATTAGACTCTCTTGTCACAGTCTACATTTTTTCCTGGAATCTCCAGACCTCCTAAATTATTATTTTTCTAATTCACATACATTAAAGTTCACTCTTTGTGTAGTAAAGTTTTATTGGTTTTGACAAATGTCTGATATCACGTATCTACTATTACAGTATCATAGAATAGTTTCACTGTGCTAAAATTCCCTGTGCTTCAACTATTCATCCCTCCCCTCCATACCCACACCTCTGACCACCACTGATTTTTTTTTTTTAACCACTGATCTTTTTTTGTATGTAGTTTGCCTTTTCCAAAATGTCATAGAATTGGAATCAAACAACATGTAGCCTTTTCAGACTGGCTTCTTTTACTGAGAAATATGCATTTAAGTTTCCTCCATGTGTTTCTGTGGCTTGATAGCTCATTTCTTCTTATTGCTGAATAATACTGCATGTATGTACCATAGTTTATCCTTCATCTATTAAAGGACATCTTGGTTGCTTTCAGTTTTTGGCAGTTATGGATAAAGCTGCTATAAACATCCATGTTCAGGTTTTTGTGTGGACATGAGTTTTCAATTCATTTGGGTAAGCAAGTAGGAGTATAATTGATGGATCACAGGTAAGACTGTGTTTAGCTTTTTAAGAAACTGCCAAACTTTCTTGCACAGTGGCTGTACCATTTTATATTCCTGACAGCAATGAAAAAGCTACTTATTTTCCATATCCTCTCCAGCAATTGGTATTTTTGTTTTGTTTTTTGTTTCTGATTTTAGCCATTCTAAAAGGTGTGTAGTGATGACAATACGTAAACAACTCATTGTTGCTTTAATTTGTAATTCCCTAATGACAAATGATGTTAAGCACCTTTTCATATTTTTTTGCCATCTGTATATTTTTTTTCTGTGAGCTGTCCAGATATTTTGCCCATTTTTTTTTTTTTTTAGATGTTGGGGGTAGGAGTTCAGCAATTTATTTATTTATTTTTGCTGTGTTGGGTCTTCGTCTCTGTGCAAGGGCTTTCTCTAGTTGTGGCAAGCAGGGGCCATTCTTCATCGCGGTGCGCGGGCCTCTGACTATTGCGGCCTCTATTGTTGCGGAGCACAGGCTCCAGACGCGCAGGCTCAGCAGTTGTGGCTCACGGGCCCAGTTGCTCTGCGGCATGTGGGATCCTCCCAGACCAGGGCTCGAACCCATATCCTCTGCATTAGCAGGCAGATTCTCAACCACTGCGCTACCAGGGAAGCCCTATTTTGCCCATTTTTAATAGTGTTTGTTTTTGTATTGTTGAGTTTTTAAAGAATATTTGAATACAAATCCTCTATCAGATATGTGCTTTGCAAATATTTTCTCCCAGTATGTTGTCTCTCTTCATTCTCTTAATAGTTTCTTTCCACAGCAGAAATTTTTTTTTTTTTTTTTTTTTTTGCGGTATGCGGGCCTCTCACTGCTGTGGCCTCAGGCTCCGGACACACAGGCTCAGCGGCCATGGCTCACGGGCCCAGCCGCTTTGCGGCATGTGGGATCCTCCTGGACCGGGGCCCGAACCCGTGTCCCCTGCATCGGCAGGCGGACTCTCAACCACTGCGCCACCAGGGAAGCCCCCTATTCCTTTTTAAATGCATAAACTCTCACCCTTTGAGATGGTCACGGGACACCCAGTGCACTTCACTCCTGTCTCTTCTGACTGAGACTTGATAAAAGGAGAGATATTTCAATATTGTAAAGGCCTAATCATTTCAATTAAGAAAACTGTATTTTGGTAGAGCAATCTTTTTAGTGTCTCTCAAAAAATGAAGACCTTAAGAATCACACCTTGCAAACTGGAGATTTCATCTACTGGAGTAATTACCTCCAGAAAAACTCTCTTCAACCTTGCTGGAAAGGCCCCTATCAAGTACTGCTAAACCAACCCTTGTGCCACCAAAGTACAAGGAATTGACTCTTGGATTCACATGACACACTTAAAGAAAGTGCCAAACCCTGACTAGACCTGCACATCATCTGGTGACCTGAAAGTCAAGATTTCCCAGAATTGAAGCAGATGACATCTGATGAGACATCTTTCCCAAAATATCCATTCCAGGCCTGTTGGAGTTTGTCACCAAACCTTTGATGATGACATGCTCAGATGATCTCCAGTGTCTATGATGTTGGTTAACATATGAACTTTAGATAAAAAGTGCCTCACAGTTCTCTCTGCTCTTCAATACTCAAATGTAATCTCAGTAGGTTTGAAATCTGCATTTTCCCTCTGATGTGAGACTGTACACAGGAAAGGTCCTCCCTGGCATTGAGGTACAAAAAGCCACTGACACCAAAAAAAAAACCCTCATGCTTGATCAGATGCTTTCAGAGAAAGATTTTGATCAAAAGGGGGAAATGTAAAAAACACACAAACAAAAAAGAACAGAAACAAACACAAACAAAAAAGAACAGAAACCTCAATGAAAGAGAGTCAGGAGGTCATAAAGGGGGACGGGGAAGTCTCACACCCTGCAACAACAGCAGAGACCTTTTCTCTCCTGGCAACAACTCAGCCAATGAAAAGCAATGGACTGTTGTTTTTTGTTTTTTTTTTTTACTACATCCCTCCCAACTTCCTTTCCCCACATAAACGTGTCCTCCTTTCCATTTTTGCTGGGGACTTGCATGCAGGTTCCCATGGTGGTATCCCCCAAATTGCAATTCTTTTTATAATAAACCTGTTTTTGCTGGAGAAATAGTTGGCAGTCAGTTTCTTTTAGATCAACAGTAGGTAGTGGTATCTCATTGGTTTTTCAAATTTATAATTTCCTAGTACCCTCTAATACTGAGCATCTTTTCATATACTTATTTGCAGTCTGTATGGTGAGGTGTCTGTTGAGATCTTTTGCCCATTTTCAACTGCGTTTTTCCTTTTCTTGCACTTTTAGTATATTTTGGGTAACTTTTATCAGATATGCCTTTTGCAAATATTTTCATCTTGTGGCATCTCATTCTCTTGATGTATGTATCTTTTTACAGTATATAATCACGCTGTGAATATAATTAGCTTTTTAACGTAACACTATAGCAAACATTTCCCATTTTGCTTGAGACTTCCCAGTCACCTTTGTATAGGGCTGCAAAATAAGTACCCAGTTTCTTCCTCCACAGCCCGACAGAGCAGATTAGCCCCACTTTACAGGTGAAGGAGATGAGAGACTGGTAGCTACCTGCGTAAGGTTTCAGCGCTGCTGACCCGCTGGGCTCACAATCCCCTGGGTAAGCAACCCAGTGCCTCCCGAGCTGCCCGTCCCGCCTGGGAGGTTTCCGTGAGTGGTTTCTATGACTCGGCGCACTAACTCTCTTCTCTTGGTCTCCCAATCCCGCTCTGAAACACAGCAAAGCCGCGATCCTCTGGGATTTAAAAAGCGGCCAGGAGGCTCGGCCGGGCGCGGGGCGGGCACTCTCATCGTCCTCCTCCGGGGCAGGAGCGGGCGCGGAGGCGGAGCGAGCAGTCCACGCCTTCCGCCAGCCGAGCTCCTTCAGTCGGCGCGCAGGCGACGTGGACACCGGACTGGCCTCCCGGAGCGCGGGGCCCGGCGGCCCACACGGAGGGGAGCCGGAGCGCGCTGACCCGCTAGGCTGCACGCGGCGGACGGCAGGCCCGCGGAGCCGGGCGCGGTGAGCTGACTGCTCCGCCCCGGCAACCCCCCAGTCAGGCTCGGCTCCCACCCCAGCCCCGCGCCGGCGAGGCTGCCGGGCGTCGGAGCAACTCCGGGCTGCCCCCGCCACCTCTTCCCTCACCCGGTCTCGGGCCTGGGGAAGTTTCCCGCGGAAGCGAAAGCGAATCCTTCGCTACAGCTGCGCGGCGAAGCGCGGTCGCAGGTAGTCTCGCGGGTCGGCCTCTGACCAGGGTCAGGGCTTCCGCTTCCGGCGTGCGGGCGGTGGGCGGGCGACGACGCTCCCGGAGGTCAGGCGGTGGGCGTAGTCCGTGGCGTTCCGGGAAGTCGGGCGTATAAGTGCTGAAAGTCGGCCGCTAAGATGGGCTCGTTTCTGGCTTGGGGTTTCGGTCTGTCCTGACAGGGCGGACACCTACCTCGGGCGCGATAACGGCGTGAAGTAGGAACAGACTGTCTCGTGGCCACCGTTGTTTTGGGGGATGGTGGGTTTTCCTTGCTGTGCCCTTAAGCCTCAGCGGTGCCTGCTCTCGCCGCAATAGGGTTACGCAGGCGTCCCAGGCCGGGCCTCCTCCGCTGCCCTTCGGAAGGACCTTTGACTGGGGCGCTGGGGTCGCCGCGAACTGCGAAGCAGTCAGAAGTGTTTCCGCGTTGTCTTAGACGTGTGCTGGCAAGTGGGAAAGAAAAGTTAACGGCGACGAAGGGGAGGATGCTGTCACCCTAGAAGGCGTCTTCTGTTCGGTGGTCAGTGGCGTGTGCTTTTACGAAATGTTCATAATCTTTTGAGAGTTTTTGTTTTAACATCTTTATTGGAGTATAATTGCTTTACAGTGGTGTGTTAGTTTCTGCTGTATAACAAAGTGAATCAGCTATACATATACGTATATCCCCATGTTTACTCCCTCTTGCGTCTCCCTCCCTCCCACCCTCCCTATCCCACCCCCTAGGTGGTCACAGAGCACCGAGCTGATCTCCCTGTGCTATGCGGCTGCTTCCCACTAGCTATCTATTTTACATTTGGTAGTGGATATATGTCCATGCCACTCTCTCACTTCGTCCCAGCTTCCCCTTCTCCCTCCCTGTGTCCTGAAGTCCATTCTCTAGTCTGCGTCTTTATTCCTGCCCTGCCCCTAGGTTCTAAAGAACCCTTTTTTTTTTTTAGATTCCATATATATGTGTTAGCATACGGTATTTGTTTTTCTCTTTCTGACTTCCTTCACTCTGTGTGACAGACTCTAGGTCCATCCACCTCACTACAAATAACAATTTCGTTCCTTTTAATGGCTGAGTAATATTCCATTGTATATATGTGCCACATCTTCTTTATCCATTCATCTGTCAAGGGACACTTAGGTTGCTTCCATGTCCTGGCTACACACATACGTTTCTGTTCTTCATTAGGCTTGTTCTTGGTTTCTTGAGAGTTTTGTAGAGGATAAGTTACATCCTTTTTTCCTAAGCATCGGACAAAACCCCACAAAGGGGGTGTTGGTTGTTCATTTCTTTGTCTCCTGCTGATCGTTTGGCTCTTCCTTGCTCGTGTGTCTTGGACAAAGCCTGAGGCTGTTATATTCAACCAACTTTCCAGAAGTCCTTTGGTCTTTAGACCACTATTACTCCTCCCCCGATTTACACATGAAGAAATCAAGGCAGGAGTGAGCTTTGGAGCGTAGAGTGACTTCTTACCTGATCTGCATTTTGTAACCATCAGGTAGGTGCAAGAGTAGGGAGGAAATTATAGTCTATTATAAATTTGGAAAACTGCAGCCCTTCTAAACACAAAAGGTGAAGACTGAGCTTGCTTAAAATATTTGGGGGTATATCATCATCATCACTATTATTACTGATAAAACAGTTAACTTTCATTTTCCTCTGTCTGAGCTATATTGCACACCAGAGCTATATTGTACTTTCAGGATTGTGACTATTAATGAGAATTAAGAAAAAAAATCCCTAAATAGCAGTTTCCAAAATCGCACATTACTATTGGGTGCTTATTAATCCACAGCATGTTAATACCACCAGTATGATCTGGGAATTTGAAAAAAACACAGAGCTTCCCATGCTTTGGTTGGATGTCATACTCTGGCAAAAATGATCATGTTAGTTAACCTGTAGAATATTGATTTCGAACCACTTAGTTTCATATGTTTTTTTAAATTTAGTCTGTACATTCCCTATGTTTCTGACTGTCACATACTTATTTAGTATAGGTGAGCAGTTGTAAGATTAAGTCTTTGCATCTGATTTTAACAAAGACATCGGTTGCTCTCTAGAGGAGTAGCATGTGTTAGTGAGCTGATAGCGGAAGTTTGCGTGAAGAGATGAAGGCTGAGTGCCAGGATCTGCGACTTTAGGTGAATCGTTAAACTCCAGATTTTAGTTTCTTTATTTGTAAATTGGAACGAGGTAAATTGGTACTTCAGAGGGTCATAATGTGGTAACGTACATGATAACGCTGGGTTGAGCTCTTCCAGTCTCTTCTCTCTTGCTCAGCATTTAGATCTTCCTTGCTCAGCGCTCTTGTTTATCTGGGCCAAAGTATCAAGCAGTTATAATCAAAGAACCTTGAGAAATCCCCATTGGATACCTGAGTAAAAACAGAGTTCTGTTAGCAGGGAAAAAGGGGGGCAGTGATAGGTAGGCAGCCAGCATTTTCTGTCAGACTCATTATGTATATGGTCATCATTGAAAAATTGAAAAAACAGTCCTCTACCACTTAAAGGTAAATATGAATATTTTTTTAAAGTTTAAAAAAATTGTTTTTTGGGGCTTCCCTGGTGGCGCAGTGGTTGAGAGTCCGCCTGCTGATGCAGGGGACACGGGTTCGTGCCCCGGTCCGGGAGGATCCCACATGCCGCGGAGCAGCTGGGGCCGTGAGCCACGGCCGCTGAGCCTGCGCGTCCGGAGCATGTGCTCCGCAGCGGGAGAGGCCACAGCAGTGGGAGGCCCGCGTACTGCAAAAAAAAAAAATAATAAATAAAAACATGACAGGGATGAGGAGTCATTCCTTTAAAACAAAAAATTGTTTTTTGAGGTATAACATACACAGAAAAGTACACGAATCGTAACTGTTCAGCTGTATTAAGTATCACAAAGTAAACATTAAGAAGAAATGAGACGTTGCCGTCACTCCTGAAGCCCCTGCGCTTTCTGTGATTCACAGCCTCCTGCTTCCACCTAATAGGAACTACTGTCTTGACTGTGTATATTGTAGATGAGTTTTGCCTGTTATTTTGGTATTATATATTAATAATTTGTATTTTCCCCCAGTTTTACTGAGGCATAATTGACTAACAAAATTGAATATAGATATGAATATTTTGATATATAGATTTACCCTGCCTTAGAAGATAATTTGTGAAGTTTCTTGGGATTTTCAGTTAATTTCAATGGAAAAGATTTGCTTCCCTAAGTCCCTGAATTAAATATACAGAAAACAATAAATTCCATTAAAATAGATACACTCTTTGTTGAAATTAATCAAAAGACGACATAACAGGCTAGTGTGCCCACATTAACTACACTGTAACATGGCTTTGTAATGTGGTTTTCTACCTGCTTACATTCAGTGTTTTTGTGATTCGGGTATCTGAGTTACTCACAAGCCCTTCCTAAGATATTCAGTGCTTATAAAGTTGAAGCATTCGTGGAGAAATAGTGGGGGAAACAGAAAAAACAAAAGAAATCATTGGAAACCATGCAAAAGTTGCATAAGGTTAAGTAAGACCAGACTAAACCAGCAAACCGCAGACTGAGGAGAACCAGCTGGGGTCAGGAGCCAGCCTCACAAAGTGCAGCCGACCCATGAGGAGGCTCCCCTCCCCTGAGCTCCATCCCACTTGCAGGAGGCACTGCAGGTCCTAGTTGGTCTTGGCAGCTCTGAGGAGACAAGACCTGGGCTGAAGGAGAGAGCTGAATCTTAATACCCCGTGGGCATATTTCAGGGCACGGTTATAATTCCTGTTTCCGTTGCGGAGCACAGGCTCCGGACGCGCGGGCTCGGCGGCCATGGCTCATGGGCCCAGCCACTCCACGGCATGTGGGATCTTCCCGGACCGGGGCACGAACCCGTGTTCCCTGCATTGGCAGGCGGGCTCTCAACCACTGCGCCACCAGGGAAGGCCTGTGAGCCTTTTTTAATGTTACTAAACATTCATACATAACGTCATTTTTGAAAACTGCTGGAGGTATTTCATAGTGTGAATGGGTCATAACTTATTCTCCCTTATCCTGTATCTGTCAGTTGTTTTATGTGCTTTTGCTGTTTTACCTAATGTTACTGGGAACATCCTTGTACATACTCTGTATCAGCATCTCTGATTTGATTCCTTAGAGTAAAGAACTACTGAGTGAAGGAATTATTCCCTTTTAAGAAATAAATTTTATTATAAAGGTAATTCATGTTTATTGTAGAAAATTTGGAAAATGTAGTAGAAGTGTAAAGAAGTAAAAATCACCCAACTATCCAGAAATCCTTGCTAACATTTTCGTGTCTTTCGCTGTGTCTTTTTTCCTGTGCATATATCTATATGTATAGCTAGCCATCTACCTGTTAATATATTGGTTGTATAATATTACATCTTATGAATGTGCTATAATTCGTTTAACTATATTCTTTATTTTTGGATGATTAAATAGTTCTTGTATTTAAAAAATTATGTATTTAATGACCAACTGCCATATGTCAGGTTCTGTGCTGGGCACTGTAGACAGTGCATAAGACAGACAGTTTCTTGCCTTCTGTGAGCTTAATTGAAATAACTCCCAAATTGTAGCTGTCCTGTTTCAAAGGGGAAGTACTGGGTGCTGTGAAAACGTCTAGTGGGAAGATGTAGGATGGCTTTCCTGAGGAAATGACGTTTCTGAGACCCGAAGGAGGAACAGCTTCTAGCCAGGAGAAGAATGTGCCCTCAGAGGGCTTGTAGGGGAGAGTGGGACAGGTAACTCAGTCTCCCCCCACCCCATCCCACCCTCACAAGGACTGGTCAGTAGAGAGCTGCTGAGAAGAGTGATCCCAGCTGCACACTCGTATTCTGAAAGCCTGGGAAACAGGATGAACGTGAAAGCGTATGGCTCGTTGGGCCAATCATAGCCAGAACTGTAAAGCAGGCAACAAATGTGTTTTCACATATTTTTTCTCACATAATCCTTAGCAGTCTTGTGAGGCAGTCATTATTATTCCTTTTGCAAATGAGGAAATTGAGGCTTATGTAAGTTACCCAAGACACAGGGCTGATAAATTAGAGCTAGAGTTCACATGGGAGAAAAGCCTGTGCTCTTTGCACCATCATAATGGCTTCTGGTACCTCACCTTCAGTCCCTGACTCACCCCTGTCCCCTTCATCTTTATGCCCTTTATCTGGCAGCCTCCCTCCACCCCTGTCTCTGCCCCGCAGATGTGCTTCTTTCCAGAGGGTACTTCCTCTTGCTTGGAAAGTCTCCTGTTACAGGAAAATGGTTCATAGCATCATCTTCCGTGCTGATATGTGAGCTTTGTTGGGGTGGCAGGGCCCACCGAAACCTTTGTACAGGATGTAGAAGGTTGGTTGCCTGAGTCAGACTGCAGCAGCCCACTGCACAGGATTGCTGTCAGCCT